GGTGTGGCCAGTCTACGGGGCGTGGCCAGCGGGGGGATTGGTCCAATCACTGCCCACGGGGCGTGGCCAGCTGGGGCGGGGCGAATACTGCCCACGGGGTGTGGCTAGCGGGGGGCGATCACTGCCCACGGGGTGTGGCCAGCGGGGGGATTGGTCCAATCACTGTCCACGGGGTGTGGCCAGCGAGGGGATTGGTCCAATCACTGCCCACGGGGCGTGGCCAGCGGGGAGTGGGGGCGGGCGATCACTACCCACGGGACGTGGCCAGCCGGGGTCCCCCTGTCATGGCCATAGCCAACCCAGGGCCCCATCTCCGCAGGCCACCGCGCCCCCTGGGACTTCTCCCTGGCTCCTAGGGGAGCCTGTGGGGATGGATGTTGGTCCTGGCCAGACTCAAGGCTTCCGACGGGAGGGGGGGGAGAAGGGGGAGACTCCCGACATAGGCTCAGCCTTCCCCTCCCTCATCTGTGGGGTGGAGGGAAGGAAGGAGGGAGCTGGAGGAGCATCGTGGTCGGAGGATGCGAGTTCGATTCTTTCTGATGGGAGAATTAGAGAACTCAGAGCAGGTGCTTATAGGTTGGGGCAGCGGCACTGGGAGCCGTCCCTGTCTGGGCTCTGGGATGGCCTAGGACCTGGACAGTGGCTGGAGTTTGGATGAGGGCAACAGAATCCTCCTCCATCTCTTTGTGTATATGTGGTGGTGGTAGGGACTTGGAGAGGGCAGCGGGGTTGAGGAGAGCAGGTATCTTGAGAACTGTCGTGGCACTGTGCACTGATACTGAGAGGCAGCCGGTCCTAATGGAGACCACATACTGGACTCCTAAGACTCAGCATAAGAGGAGGATGCAGGCTATCACAATCATGATTAATACTGCTGCATTATTGCAATGATAGCATGTTGGCTACTTGGTTGTTATGGTTTGGATGTTAGGATGTTAGATGTTAGGATGTTTGGATGTTAGATGTTAGGAGGTGTAGGAGCTTGGAGAAGTGGGATCTAAGAGGAGTACTTCCTCATGGTCTATAGCTACAGTGAACAACACAGTTTTCAAAATGAAGAGCAGAGATGCTTTTGAATATTCTCAAATAACCAATGTTGGAGGTGTGAAAATGCTAATTACCCTGATATGATCATTATACATTGTATATATGTTTTGGAGTGTCACAGTGTATGTGACGATTCCTATGCACCAATTAAAAATTTAAATTTAAAAATGAGGCAGGAAATTGTTAGCTCATTGAAAGCACTGCTTCCTGATACTTATCCCTGACGGGCCTTTATCTTTGCCTGAAGTTCCCTACTTCATGAAGTTACTCCAAGTCCCAAGCAAAGAACTTCTCCAGGAAACCAGGGCCACCATCTTCCCGATAGTGACAGTGTTCCCTAATACACAGACCTCAGTAGTGGCAGGCTCAAAGGCTCCCTTCCTACCAATCCTCCTGGCTCACTCTATTTCTACAGGATCTCTGAATGGAGGGAAAGATGAAAGCAAACCAGGTTGGGTTTCTTGAGAGGGTTGTTATGGAAAGCCAGACCAATTCCTACCCACTCTCTGGCTTCCTGTCCCTCTCCCCTGTGCCCCTACCATGCTGCCATCCACCAGGTGTCATGGAAGCCAAGTCAGCCGTGACTTTTACCCCCCAAAACTCTCAGCTAAATAAACTGCTTTTCTGTATCAGTTACCCAGGATTTTGTTATAGCAAGGAAAAGCAAACAAATGCTGATATTTACTTACATTTAGCATTTAAAGTGTATCTGGCCTGTTTATTCTTTCAATATGGCTACTCAAAAATTTATAATTGCCTATGCAGCTCACATTTGTGGTTCCAGTGGCTTAAAGCTTTGGCTAGGCTTTGGGTCCAGATCTACCTTTGCCTCATGCCCCTCCCTTAGCCAGTTCTTTTTATTTATATTTATTTATTTGTCTGTCATAGGGCTTGAACTCTGGGCCTGGGCGCTGTCCCTCAGCTCTTCAGCTCAAGGCTGGTGCTTTACCACTTGAGTCACAGCGCCACTTCCATGAGATCAAAGTCTCATGGACTTTCCTGCATGGGCTGGCTTTGAACTCTGATCCTCAGATCTCAGCCTCCTGAGTAGCTAGGATTACAGGTGTGAGCCACCGACGCCTGGCTTCTTAGCTACTTCTTTATCTCTGTTATTCTTGATCACAGTCAGGGGTAGAGTGACCCCCTGGCCCTGCTCTGCTCTGCCTAGTCGTTTGTCAAATATTCATGTTCCTCTTGTTTGTAGTCACATTTTCCCAAACAAGAGGCATACTTCCCTTCTCTACTTCAGATTCTTTTCTTCTAGTTTTATTCTGTTCAAAGCCTTTCATGCATGAGGCCCTGGGTTCGATTCTTTAGCACCACTTCAGCAGAAAAAGCCACAAGTAGGGCTGTGGCTCAAGTGGTAGAGCACTAGCCTTGAGCTGAAGAGCTGAGGGACAGCGCCCAGGCCCAGAGTTCAGGTCCCATGACCAACCCCAAAAAAAGGTCCAGTAACGCTTGAAACCTGCTGAAAAAAAAAAAAATCCCAGGGATTCTGTCTCAGCCAAGCAGCAAAGACCTTGCGACACTTATTTTTTGAATTTATTTATTTTTTGGGTCTGGTTGTGGGTCCTGAACTCTGGGCCTGGGCGCTGTCCCTCAGCTCTTCAGCTCAAGGCTAGCGCTCTACCACTTGAGCCACAGCACCACTTCTGGCTTTATTTTTTTTCTGCTTATGTGGTGCCGAGGAATCAAACCAGGGCCTCATGCATGCAAGGCAAGCGCTCTACCACTGAGCCACCTTCCCAGCCCCATTGCAACACTTATTATTATTATTATATTTTGTCTGTCGTGGGGCTTGAACTCTGAGCCTGGGTGCTGTCCCTGTGTTCTTCAGCTCAAGGTGAGCACTCTACCACTTGAGCCACAGTGTCACTTCCAGTTTTCTAGTGGTTTTTATTGGAGATAAGAGTCTCATGGACTTTCCTGCCCGGACTGGCTTTGAACCTGGATCCTCAGATCTCAGCCTCCTGAATAGCTAGGATTACAGGCGTGAGCCACCAGTGCCCGGCTATTATTATTATTATTTTGCCAGTCCTGGGGCTTGAACTCAGGGCCTGGGCACTGTCCGTAAGCTTCTTTTGCTCAAGGTAGCACTCTACTACTTGAGCCACAGCGCCACTTCCAGCCTTTTTCTGTTTATGTGGTGCTGAGGAATCAAACCCAGGGCTTCATGCATGCTAGGCAAGCACTCTACCACTGAGCCACATTCCTAGCCCACACTTTCTATTCTTGTAACACTCTTGTCTTGCCACTGCTTGTTTTTTGAGTCCTAGGCAATATCTATTGGCCTCTCCCATGGAGGATGAAAATTTAATTTCTCACATCACTTTCCTACACTTCCTACATGTATGTGCTGTATTATGATGACATTTCCTTTCCTGTTACTGATATTAATGTACTGCCACTGGTTTAGCCCCTAATTCTCCCCTGACTAAATTTTCTCAGTTCTGTCTTGAACTTGAGATGTTCAAGCTTGTCTCAGCTCTGTCCATCTCATCTTCTTGGAGATAGCTTTGTTGCAAGAACAGGGCCCCAGGTAAGTTTTGTGAAATGTGAATGTCTGAAAACATGAGTCTTTTCTAATTCAGTATGATACTTAATTGCTAGTTTAGCTGCACATCAAATTCTTGGTTTAAATCATTTTGTCCCTCACAGTCCTGAAAATATTACCACCCAATTTTCTTCTAGCTTTCATTTTTCTTCCTGGGAAGTCTGGTGCCATCTTGATTCCTGATCATTTGCATGAAACCCAGACATTCTTCTTGCAGCTTGAAGAGTTTCTGTCATTATTAGCTCTGAATTTCACACACTATCTTGTGATCTTCCAGTCACTTACTAGGCCTATGGCTCTAAAACTTTAGTTCTAGGAAAAAACTTCCTGTTCTCTCTCTTTCTCTCTCCCTCCTTCCTTCCCTCCCTCCCTCCTTCTCCCTTCCTCCCTCTCCCCCCTCTCTCTCATGCCATGACTTGGCATTGTCTGTGTTTGTTCATTCAAGGCTGATGCTCTAGCACTTCAGCTCTGCCTCTACTTCAGCTTTTTGCTGGTTAACTGGAGATAAGTCTCTTGGATTTGCTGCCCAAGGCTTGTTCGAGCTTTGCTCTTCAGATCTCAACCTCTTGAATAGCTAGGACTCCAGGTGTGAGACACCAATGCCCAGCTTCATCTCTACTTCTTAAAGATACCTGATACTGGAAATTCCTGCATGGGTCTCAAATTTCTCATCTCTTAAGAGTTAATTCTTGGGTCTGGTATGACAACATTCATGTATCTAGCTTTATTTCTAGAAAGGGTAAGCAGAGATTTTTCTGGTCTGACACTTAAGCACAATCTAAGGATGAGCTGCCCAAGTACAAAGTCTGTCTACATATGGAAATTCAGCCCTTCTCTTCCGGAAGCCTCAATGCCAGGGGCAAAGCCTGATTAGACTCTAAACTGAAGGGTAGAAACACCTGAAGTTGTGTCTCCTTTATTTTATACAGGCTTATAAAACTCTATCAGTCAATCTATCCATCCTATCTATGTCTTATCAATCATCTATCAATCATCTCTCTATTAAGCACTAAGCATCTCTATTAATATCTTTTCTAGCTGTATATCTCTCTTAGTTTATATGTTTACCCACCCATCTATCTCTGTCGCTCTGTTTCTCTTCCTGTCTGCTCACTATGTGTGTATTTCTTTGTCACTAACATTCCTGCCTTGCTCTGTGGCTGCTTCTCTGTCTCCTCCTCCATAAGGTCCAGGGGCTTCTGCACGCCAGGCCCATACCCGACCCTCCTTTGGGGGAAGTCCATGGGTGGCCTTGACCTCTTACGGGAATGCATTGGATTCTGGGGTGCATCTGGGCCGTGCTGACTTTCACAAATCCTTCCACGGAGTGAGCAGTCCCCCTCCAGCCCACCGTTCTACCCCACGGGACAAAAGGGACTTGCGCTGCCCAGGGGCCCTGGGGCGCCACGTACCTGGCGTCCGGCCTCGTTGTTGTGGCGGTTCATGGCCGAGCGGGCGTCTGGCCGGTTCTCCCGGGCGTCTGCAAACTCCCGGGACACCATTCCACCAAACTCGATGTCCTCGCCGCAGCCCCCCCACTTCCAGCCTTCGCCGGGGGAGCCCTGGTGGCGGCTACTGCAGCCACAGATGGCCGCAGAGCCCTCGGCACAGGACCGCGTCACCGCAAAGGCCACGCCGGCTGAGGCGATGGCGTGGACGAAGGCTGACTCCCGGGTGGCTGTGGAGGAAGGAGGGGGTGTGAGCAGAGTCTGCTGAGGAGGCTGCAGGGAGAGGGGGTGTCCACACTGAGCCACTAGGAGCCAGGACTCGAGGGGGGAGGAGAAGGTGCAGGAGAGCGCACCAAGACTTGTGGAGTCACACCATAAAATCCTTGTTCTGACCAATGTCCTGAAGCATTTCCTCACAGCTGTCTTGCAGTAGTTTCATAGTTTCTGGTCTTATGTTAAGTCAATCCAGCTTGAACTGATTGTGAGTGTGTGTGTGTGTGTGTGTGTGCGCGCACACGCGCGCGCGCATGCGCATGTGCTAGTACTGGGGCTTGAACTTGAGGCCTGAGCACTATTCCTCAGCTTTTTTTTCTTTCCTTTTTTCCTGCCAGTCCTGGGGCTTGAACTCTGGGCCTGGGCTCTGTCCTTGAGCTTCTTTGGCTCAAAGCTAGTGTCCTCTCATTTGAGTCACAGCGCCACTTCTGGCTTTTTTCTGAGTAGTTTATTGCAGATAAAAGTCTCACAGAGGGGCTGGGAAGGTGGCTCAGTAGTAGAGTGCTTGCCTTGCATGCATGAGGCCCTGGGTTCAATTCCTCAGCACCATATAAGCAGAAAAAGCTGGAAGTGGCGCTGTGGCTCAAGTGGTAGAGCACTAGCCTTGAGCTGAAGAGCTGAGGGACAGCACCCAGGCCCAGAGTTCAGCCCACAACCAGATCCCCCCCCCAAAAATCTCACAGACTTTCCTGCCTGGGCTGGCTTTGAACCTTGATCCTCAGATCTCAGTCTCCTGAATACCTAGGATTACAGGTGTGAGCCACCAGCATCCAACTCCTTAGCTTTTTTTTTTTTCCTCAAGTTTGGAACTCTACCACTTGAGCCTTACCTCCACTTCTGGCTTTTGGTGATTAATTGGAGATAAGAGTCTTCACATGGACTTTTCTGCTTCAGTTGTTAAATCCATGATCCTTAGATCTGATTGTAGGTGTGAACCACTGGTGCCTGGTTTGAATTGATTTTTATGTATGAAGAAAGATTTGGGGGTTGATTTTCAGTCTTCTGCATGTGATGTCATTATCTCATTTTCCTAGCACTATTTATCAAAGGTATTGTCATTTCTCTACTGTGTTCTTGGCATCTTTTGTTGGAAATATATATCTTATATATATATAATGTAAAAAATATATTATATAAAAAAATATAAATATAAAAAAGTAGCCAGGCACTGGTGGCTCATGCCTGTAATCCTAGCTACTCAGAAGGCTGAGATCTGAGGACTGTGGTTCAGTCAGCTTGGGCAGGAAAGTCTGTGAGAATCTTATCTCCAATTAATCACCCGAAAACTGGAAGTGGCGCTGTGGCTCAAGTGGTAGAGCATTAACCTTGAGCTGAAGAGCTGAGGGACAATGTCCAGGCCCAGAGTTCAAGCCCCATGACCTAAAAAAACAAAAAAAAAGTAGATGAATTTTTGAGACTTCTATTCTATGTGTCTGATTAAGCGCCATCCTGTTTTGGTTCTGATGGCTCTGTGTTATGCACAATGAAACGTTGGTAAGCCATGAAGGGAGAGACCTGGAGGACACTAAGGGAAACAGGTCCGGCTCTGTGGGGTGGCGGCTGGATTTTGCAGCGTTCAGACCCAAGGGGGCTTCTCCAGGCAGGATGAAGGACCGGGCTGGGCCTCTAGGGGGGGTAAACCTTCCGCTGGGGCAGGAGGGGGTGGGGGTGGGGCCATGTCAGTCTGGCTGTCACTGACACTCTTTCCATTGTCACCTGACATAGTTGTGCTAAGTGATAACCAAGGTACTGCAAGCTGAGGAAGCCCCAGGAGCAAGAGGAATGAGAGTCTGAACTGCTGTCCTAGCTGAGAACATTCTGGGCTTGAGGCCCCAGAGCCTGGGTCTCCGGGAGCAGGTGTGCTGTGGATTTCTTGGGCGAGAACCCTCTTGTTCAAGGGTGCATCACTGGCTCCTGGACAGTAGAATCCTTGAGTTTATGAGAGTCCTTCCTTACACAAAACCTCATGTGGATCGCCAAGAAGCCTTCCTCCTAGAGGGATGGGCAGGAGGATTGCTCCCCAGGGTTTTTCCAGCTGAGTTCTGAGTGAACAGTCCTGGGGACTCTGTGTTCTTAATTGCAGGCAGGAAGAACAAGGAAACTGAGCAACTGTGCACATACTCTGACACACTCAGGAAGCTTGATACTCATCCACACAGAACTAGCATAAAAAAATATGCATTCAGCCGGGCGCCGGTGGCTCACGCCTGTAATCCTGGCTACTCAGGAGGCTGAGATCTGAGGATGGCGGTTCAAAGCCAGCCTGGGCAGGAAAGTCTGTGAGACTCTTGTCTCCAGTTAACCACCAGAAAAACAGAAGTAGTGATATGGCTCAAGTGATAGAGCGCTTGCCTTGAACTGAAGAGCTGAGGGACAGCGCCCAGAGTTCAAGCCCCAGAACCGACAAAAGAGAACAAAAGCGCACATTCACTTCCACACAGAGAACACAGGAGAAGTGTACGCCACCCTCCGGCGTCGGGCAGAGGCTGCACATCATGCATGTCCTCAGACCAACCCCAGGACAGGCCCAGCCCCGTAGCAGCTTCCTCTACACCTTTCCAAGATGCCCCAAAACATTCATTTTCCAATATAAAATGCTCACCCCAGACAGACCAGTCGCACCCTTTGCAATCACCCCGGAACCTGGCTGAACAAATGCCTGCGTTTGCTGGACACCAACGACCCTCCTCTCCTCCTGTGTTCCTAGGCTGCCTCCTCCTGCTTTCTTGAGCTGAGCTGGGCATCTATCCTTCCTGACCCCTCCAGAGCTGCTTCCCGAGAACCCCTGAGGCTGTGTTAGGACCAGTGAGCGAAGCAGCCTGTGGGCTGTCGAACTTGGCTTTCCCTGGCACCCTTCCCAGGGCAGCTCAGGCAGGAGGCTTGAACTGCATCCTGGACACCTGACTCACTCTTCCTTCTGTTTTCCTTTCTCCCATTCCCAGCACAGGGAATCTGCTGTCTGAAGCTCTAACTACCCTACCTAGCCAGATGAGTCCAGGGAGGGCGACCCTAGGAGATGGCGCCAGTGCCCCAGACCCCGAGACCTCTGCCTCACCCTGCCGTGCCCAGAACAAGGCTTTGGAAACTTCTGCTTATCAGGACTCAGGAAAACAGGCTAGGACTGACAGACACTTGAAGAAAGGCGGCCAGGGGAGGGAGACTGGAGCTAGGACTTAAAACTTGGAGAGACAAAAGCAGATTCTTACCTGGCTCTGTCACCAGCTAACTGGGCAGGCGTCCCTCCCCACTAAGCCTCAGTTTCTCCTGCCAAAAGAGGAGGGGAGCCGGGCGCCAGTAGCTCATGCCTATAATCCTAGTTACTCAGGAAGTTAAGATCTGCTGATCCCGGTTCAAAGCCCAGGCAGACAAATCCAAGAGACTCTTATCTCCAACTAACTAGCAAAGAAAGCCAGAGTGGAGGTGTGCCTCAAGTCACAGGCACCAGCCTTGAGCAAAGGAGCTAAGGGACAGCTGGAGGCCCCGGGATTTTAGAGGAAGAGAAGGTCTCCTCCAGACAAAGGCTCTCCAGGCTGAGGAAACCCTGGAGCTGACCTTCAGCTGGGTCCCAAAAGATGGAGACAAGAAACCTCTGTGCACGTGTTCACAGGACCTGCTTGTGGGGCCCTGTAGGAGCTGTAGGCTGCAAACCGCAGGCAGATAAACATGAGACAGTGTGTTCTGGCAAAGGGGTTCTGATTTGGAACTGAATCCATGGATTTCTCCGCAGTTTCCCAAGGTACTAGTCCCTACAAGGGGAAACCTGTAGCTGTATTGGATAATCCGTAGATATCATCTTCAGCGATGGATGGAGTTTATGTCCTCAGTGGTGGAGGCATCATCAGCCCCTGCGTAGGACTGCATTCACTTGAAGGCATGCTCGTTAACAACTCTTAGCCTGGCCACTGCCAGTGGCTCACAACTGCTTGGGAGGCTGAGATCCGGAGGACGAGTTCAAAGTCACCACAGGCAAAATTCTGCAAGACGCCATATCCAAAATAGCCAGCACAAAGCTGTGTTAGCTGAGTGGCACACAAGGTAGAGCACTGGCAGAGCACGCATGAAGCCCCGAGTTCAAACCCTCACGCTACCCCACCCTCCAGCCAAAAGACAAAAGCACAGCGCATGCAGAACACCTGCTGAACCCAGCTGGTCCTCCTCAGTTTCGGCAGTCTCGAGTCTGCCCACACTCCTCAGAAACTCCAGGGAACGGAGGGGAGGTTGGAGGAACCTCAGGGAGAGGGTGAGGTAAAAGAACAAGGGGTCTGAGATGAGATTCCGGGGCAGAAAAGGGGGCGTGGTGGGAAGACGGGCGACCTTCGAGTTAGGATGAGGACTCGGGGACGGAGGGACTCGGGGACGGAGGGACTCGGGGACGGAGGGACTCGGGGACGGGGGGACTCAGCTTTGAGGCTTCATGGGTGTGCACCATGTCTGCAGTAGGGGTGAGTGCGGTACCACTCCCGCAGTGCTTCTGCAAGCTTAAAATGATCTCAAAAGAGGAAAGGAGATGTCTCAAGGCTGCCAGAAGACATGTCTCCAGAAGCTCCAGGTGACACTCTCAGCCACAGGGGTTTGGTCCTGGGAGGACCAATTCCAGCCGGGGTTGTGGGTACACGCCCCCCCCCCCAGGACTGTGGGCAGAAACTACAGGGTGTCTCTCAGAGTGCACACATTTTCCTGTAGAAGGAAAGGCTTTTTATCAGATTTCCACAAGGCTTAGGGGCAATCACTGCGATCAGCTCCTGCCTCAGTGCCTTCTCTTTTTGCAGGGAGTAGAACAGGACAGACAGACAGAACAGCCCTGAGATTGCCGAGTGAGGACACAGGTCTCACGGGCACAAACCACACCTTTGTTAGGGGATTCTGCTTCTAGGGACACAACAGAGGCAGCTAGCATGGGGGACAAAGGTACCTGTAACGGGACATGGTCCATACTCCAGAAACACAAGCGGATCAT